GGAAGGGCAACACTGTCCCACACTCCTGTCTGATACAGAAACACTGCTACACCGGAAGGGCAACACTGTCCCACACTCCTGTCTGATATAGAATATTGGCTACACCAGAAGGGCAACACTGTCCCACACTCCTGTCTGATATAGAAACTCGGCTATAGGAACCTTCCGAATTTCCAAAACTCTCTCAGTCCATGAGATAAGTTTTAGAGCAAATCTCTACTTCTACTTGGAGTTGGTTCTGGTTCCTGATGCCGTAATGTTTGATAAGGCCTGACTGTAGGCCATTGGCAGTCTCATCTCAAGAAGAACAAAAAAATGGGCCGAGTACATTTAGAAAAATTTCTCTTGAAGTCTACCCCCTCCCCATCCCAACAAGGACAGTGAAAAATAAACCATTAGGTGACTGGAGAGACTGACATCCAGGACGGGGATGAGGACAGCATGGCATTAGGCGTGCATAGAGCGATAATCGGAGGGAACAGAGGGACTGATCGCGGGATATCCTTGCGGTAGCGGTGCACCCCCGGGTGGGGGCGAGGCAGACCTCCAGGTTTTACATCCTGTGCCACACGGACGCGTACATCGCTGTCTGTAGTTCCGGTCTGTATTTATTTGGTGCTGTTCTTGGATGCTTCAGCCCAGCTCCATTGCTGATCTCCTTGGGGTGCTGCTCTTTTCAGTTCAAAACCGACATGGGGATGAAAACATCCTTATCTCCTCCCCGTTTATACCAACGGGAGCACTCTGAGAGCGATGTCGAACCCAGACCCTGCCGCCCCCATGCCACAGCAGCCGGGCGGTGCAGCGCGGCTGTGTGCATGGGGGGGCTGCCTTTCATCCTGACCAGCAGGCCATAACATGCAACTGTATGTAACGGGGGGGGGGGGAGGCATGACACGGGCATTGATTGAAATCAGCCTGAAAAACCACAACAGAGGTAAGAGCCTGTAAAACATAACAGAAGATGCATTAGGAGAAGTTTCCTGAGCAGTGACATGAAGGTGTATTCTCCGCTTCGGGGAGAGATGGCAGCACTTTTAATGTCTGATGGGCCCAAAGGTTCAGTTAGACACCTGACACAGGGCATGCTTGGAGCCTGTGTCTGACCTCTGACCCTTCAGACTGGATGAAATAAAGGAAATCCCACTTTTATCAAATTTATTGCACGAAAATACTCAGACAGGAGTATTGGATAATGTACTGAAAGTGAAAAGCATTTACCCATCGTAAAGTCAGCAAATCGTAACACAGGCCATCGTAACCCAGGGAGCGTCTGTACAATCTTTTAACGGAGACATGTTGAGTGGATTTATCTTGACATTTTTTATCCTTATAACACCCCACACACAAAAAAAAACAAAAAACAGTGACTTCTGTGGTGCAGAAAGTTGGGAGCGATTTTTTTTCTCCCCCCCCCCCCATTGTTGTGTCGGGTTCTTAATTTAAAACGGCCCCCGTTCTCTTTTCTGCTCTGACCCTGTTTTGTCTGTGCTGCTCATTGTGGATGGCCCATGATCCTGGGCACACAAAGATCCCACACAAGGGGTCCGGCACAAAGACCCCCGACTCTTTACGAGGCCTCTGCTCATGGATAGAAGTGGGGAAAAAAAGGAGAAGAAGAAAAAAAAAAAAACCTCATCAAAGAATCTTACAATTGCTACCAAATTCCTGAGATTCTTCACTGAAAAAGAGGGTTAAATGTCTGAATTTGGGGGTTGCTGTGTTATACAAATTGCAATCTCATTGTTTTTGAGAGAACGCGTGCGGCATGCAGGGGCCCCCATGGGGCCCCCGGGCCGAGAGGCTGTGTTGCGCCGACCCACCGCTAAATTGGGGGACGAGCTGAGGGCAGCACGCCATTTATGTTTGTTTTAGGCCCTGAAAAACTCAGCGGGACTCTTTATGTACCTGTCCCAAGGCCTTTTACAAAAAAGACTGTTTCCCATAGCCGGCACATACCAGTTTATACTCTGGACTTAACCTTACAAGAGCTCAGACAAAAAATGACCTTTCCTACCATGGTTCCTTCAGACGAGGAGAATACCCATAGTGTCTCCTTTTTAAAAATGCATCAATTCAGTAATAGAGGCTTTTCAGGAAACGTGTGTGTGGCCCAAACGTGTAATAATGTGGGAGTCGTCTGCAACTGCAGCCAGCGGGCTCTGATGGTCAGGCATAACCATGCCCCCCCCCCACCCCCCCATGGATCCTCCTCTGTCTGTAAACTGATAAGGATGCAGTTACTAGTTACTATGTGACAGTCCAACGATATGGACAAGAAAAGAGACTCTTATGTCGCTTATAGATTTTTTGTCTGGTGGCTGAACAGCATTGCAGCCTGTCCAGTGCCCTGTACTGATGTTGATACATATAGGTGAACAGTTTTGTACTTCCTTAATGTGGAACGGTTTGTATTATTTGTGTCTCTCGTCAAAATATAAGAATACTTATCATTTTGAATGGAATACATAAAAACTTACATTTGCCAGGCAGCTGTAAGGAGGGAACTGGATGGATGGATGGATGGATGGATGGATGGAGAGAGCAGTGGGCTTGTCTCTGAAGCTTGCTATTTCTGTAACCCCCCCCATTGATGATAGTTGGGTTTCTCCAGATTGCGGAGCGTTTACTCCCAGCATTGTTAGAGTCCAAACCGATGTCTCACTCTGTGTCTCCCCACAAGCCTGGAAGTCCAGCTGCTCCTTACTTCAGCTGAAGTAGCTTGAGAGCTTTTACTCTCAGTTCCCTACCAGCCTTCGCATCTCCAGGTCCCTTTCTTCCCACAGCAGAGTGCAGTGTCTCTGTAGGGGGCAACGATGGGCTGCTTCCCATCGATGAGCCATGAGAAAGCCCTGGCCCAACAAGTCTACCACTCCACCCCCAGCTGGTAACAGTAGAGCAAGGGATTACTCGTCCTGCCTCCGTATGGGGGCACACCGGAGTGGCTGGCATCGTGAGGGGGGGGGTGGGCGGTTACCGGGGGCAACGGGCCCTCCTCAATGGTTGCCAGGGACCAGGTATCAGGGTCCCTGTGAGTCGCGGTCACGGAGGGAATGAATTGGTGACAAAGAAATAGTTATTCTAGATAAGCTGCTGCTTTGGAGTGCGGGGCGGGGTGGCTGTGATCACGAGAGCGTGCTGTGGACGCCCTCATCTGGGACACGCCGCCGCCCCTAATCTGCCGTCCCGGGCATATTCAGGTCCCTCCCCCACCCCAACATCTCCTGGCAGTGGATTTCTCCATTGTGTGGCCCCTAGTCATGGTCAGAGAACTGCAGAGGATTGGGGAGTGGGGGGTGGTAATGACGGATTAGGTCAGCAAATGAAGGCGTTTGGCTTAGCGCGAGGCCTCGCCGACTGGATCGCCATGCTGTTGGCGGAGACGCGGGACTCAAGAGACAGGAGCATGAGGGAGGGGCTTGCCTCGCCGTTCAGCAGGTAGGGGGCGCCAGACCTCACAGTAGGCATGGGTTGCGTCGTGGAGGGGGGGGGGGGGTTACGACAGCCTCACAGTATGTGTGGGATGTGGGGGGGCGGTGGGTGGTGTAGACTGAGCCTGGCACGTCCAAAGCCAACCACACACATTGCTCATTTTCTCCGGCCCAGTACTAAGTGACAGGAAGTTGCATCAGAACCCGCCCACACCTGGTTCTCCCTTGGGGTTGGATCAGGATTAACTTTGACCTTTTTGTCCCTTCCCCTCACAGGGGTCAGCTGGTAACATGTCTGGGAGGGCAGTTTCGGCACGGAGCAGGCGTACTGGACGTGGCGTTCGAGTCGCCCGCCCTGCTCCTCAGTTGCGGCCATGACACCTACATTCGCTACTGGGACTTGAGGACCAGCGCCAGGTGGGTTTGGGGTTAACGCCCAACACGGAGGTCCACAACCCACACATTTCTGCAATCAGTCCGGGCCCAAAATTTCAGTTATGCACACATCACGCTTGTAGGTGGGACAGTCGCCGGGTTGGTCAAGTGGCACAAATGAGAGCTGACTGGATGAGGGCCTCAGGGAAATCGGTGGTGGGGGGGAGGGAAATGGGCTCCCTCTTTAGGTATCAATAATGCATTGCATAGTCTGGCAGTGTAGGGTCACACCTCATTTGGAAAAGCCTGCTCCCAAGGTCCTGAAGCACGTAATACTTGTCTGTCAGGAAGTCTGTTTTCAGTAACTGTGTCTGCCCCATAGCCTGATGCAGTTAGTTAGAAGCACGAATTAAGAATGATTAGACTTCTGAAAGTATTTTCAGAAAACTTGGGATATTATTGTTATTATTATTGTTATTATTATTATTATTATTTATTATTGCAAAAATCAGAAACAGTTCCAGCTGAATTTGGCTCATGCAGTTTCCTTTCAGCAATCACCTTATTCAATTTATTTGATTTGTTCTGTTGGTTGCTGTTATTCCTGTTGATGCTGCTATGAAATATATGCTGTGCCATCAAAAATGTAATATGGCTTACAGGTGTAGCGAGAGAAAACATTTGAGTGAAAATGTGAGTCATGTAATCATCAAAATATTGAATGGAAATAAAAGGTTTCACGGATAGGCTAAGCGGAGCAGGTGAGGAGCACAAACAGTGGAGCACAAAGCAGTAAAGTGCCAGTAGGGAGTGAAAGCCCGCATGGGACGGGGAGGCAGGCTTCAGGTGAGGAGCTGCGGTTTGCGTGAGATCATGCCGCGGAGCGTGGGCCCCGTACAGGTGTTACCACGTCCGACACGCAGTCGACAGGGCGGCTTGGTGCTTTCATTGAGCTGCCGCCGCTGTGCTGTGACCTCGGACAATGATCCCACATCGGGGAGACGCCTAAAAGCGTGAGGGGCCACAGGTCTGACGGGCCTCTGTGGGGGAAGCTGTTTTGAAGCGGCTGTTTGACAAAGAGGCGAGCGAATGTGCCCCCCCGGCCCCCCCAAGAGAGCTGCTGTCCTAAGAGCTTCTGGCTTCCAGGCATCTGAAGTCCCCCACCACATAATTATTAATAATAACCCTGATTACCATTGTCTCATGCCCCCCCCACCACATCCAGTAGCGTATATTTTAGTGACTGTATAAATGTATTATGCGACATTTATACCAATGAGCCAAAACATAATGACTACCCCCCATGTGAAGCAGATAATGCTGATCATCTTGTTAAAACGGATGCACGTGAAGGTGTGAGATGTATTAGATGGTTAGCCTTTGTTCACATCTCGCATTGACCAGTCTTGGCTGCCCAACACCTAGCCAGTAGTTGATGGATTTTTCCCTCCTCAGACCACTGCCAGTAGGTGTCCAACACGGCTCATCGTGAGCCTTCCCACTTCAGAGATGCTCTGACAGTCGTCTAGCCCTAATGATAATGTCTACTATGAATGCTGAATGTTAACTTACCGTTTTTACAAGATTTCAGCATTATTTGCTTCAGAGTTAATGTGTTTATGTTAGTATGTCGTAGTATATCATCTATTAAAAGTGTAAATGCAGCAGCATAGGGTTTAGGGAGATATTTCATCCTGCATGTATACATGTACATTGACAAGCCAAGATTAAAGATCTCTTCAATTTTCAGTCTTTGACTGAGAAATCCTTGTCCCCTAACAGGGTAGGGGTTGCACTGTCCCCAGACCCAAGGGTCTGTGTCTCTCCCTCCTTTCTCTCTCTCTGTTGAGCACAGATCCGAATGCTGTCACCAGATAGCTAAAGAGCAGGCGTTAGGTTGACCAAGGTCGTCATCAAAGATTAAAGTATCACCGGCTTCAACAAAACCTTTACAGTCATTCATTCAGAAAAAGCGAAGCATGATAGATAAAACTAGTTCAGTCTGAGTGTTTACATGCTGTGAACTAAATGTTAAGGTATTTCAGGTTTAAAAGAGTAAAGAGATTTGAATTTGTGTAGCAGCACTGCTAGGTTCTGTTTGGGGTATAAATCTGTCATGTCGTACTTATGCTCGTCCGTGCAAATCTGTACTCATAATCTATAAAATTATCTGTGACTAATGATCCATTTTTCATTCGGCATTCTTCCTCACCTTGTTTTTCCGCACGTTTTCCTTAACGGGAATCGTGTCATGCAATGGAGCCTCATCATTCTGTGCTATTTCCTTAATAGGAATTGTGTCATGCAGTGGGAGGAGCCTCATGATTGCGCTCTGTACTGCATCCAAAGTGACGGAAACCACATGATCGCCAGTGGCTCCTCCTACTACGGCGTTGTGCGTCTGTGGGACAAACGCCACACCCGGTGCTTGCAGGTGAGGCACTTACTGTCGTCGATGTTGTCCACAGCCTTGAGCATGAAGCAGACACGTGCGCTTGCTGGAGACCATGGTGTGCCTCAGCCTTGACCCCACCTGTCTTCTGGCTTTTCTCCACCCTTGGGTCTGGTTATTGCAGTCATTCCAGCTGTCGCCACCCACCAGCAGCCCTGTGTACTGCCTACGCTTCAACACATCTCACCTGTACACCGCCCTGGCCACCGCGCTCTTTGCTCTGGACTTTCGGGGTCATGTGACCAAGGTCAGGAGATGAGGGAGATCATGAGCCACCAGCAGGAGCCTCCTGACATCGGCCTTGGACCCAAGTGTGCAGCCCTTTGGAGGGTGGGGAGTCTTGTGTTTCTTTGTGATTGCATGTTCTACAGAGCTCTGGATTAGAAGATTGGACATCGCCTCCCAGAACTTGTAGACCGTACAAACCAGGCAGTGAGAGCTTCTGCTTCTCCAAAGGGGTCCAGTGCACTGAACCTTTCCCTTTGTGACCCATTGCTTGTCATGGGATGGAAGCTTCTGTTCCACTAACCCAAATGTATTGGGCAGCAGATCTCCTTGTTCCCCACTGACAGAGCATCAATACCAACATGTCAAGCCCCTTGGTGACTGATGGATTTCCCTCCTTAATTATTTAGGGGCAGTTGGCCATTAGGAGGTTAGATGAAGCATCCGGGCTGTTTTTGCCACTAAAGAATACTGCCGTGGTTAGAATTTAGTCATACATCACGGACGTATGACTTGGTGCTCATAAGCATCCGAATAATGCAGATATGCTATGGAGAATATCAGGTTACCACTGTCACCCTCTGAAATGTACCCCTAGGTGTCCTGTTTTTCAAATAAAGTTACAAAATTTGGATGCGGGCTTCTCTATGTTGGAAGACACAAATGTCAACCTGCATTATCTTGTTTTTGGGGAGGGGGGCTGCATCATGGTTGTGGTCTACAGCACTGTCAGTGTCAGAACAGGCCGAAACACGCCCGACGCTGGTAATCCCGGTGCCTCGGAAAACAAATTTCTTGTCCTATTGATGTTAAAGCCCTGGGATTTGGCTGCTATTGAAGAGCACGCTCGAGGATGTCGCTAGGCTATGCTAGCCTCGACTCAGACACCGTAGGGCATGCGGGGATATACCCATATAAGAACCTTATGGCTGGAGATGACTCTTGAAATCCTGGGGGCCAAAACAGTGCTCTTTTATTCATTTTAATGTTACATGATCATTCAAAAATGCTGCTAAATTGGACGTCTTACTCGCGATAGTAAACTACAAGTGAGAGATGTTAATTTCAGCTGGTTAGAAAATTTTAAACTTTTTGATGCCATCTCCTTTGCCTTAAAGCATGGAACTATTTTTGAATTTAAAAAATAAAATGTGGAAGAAATCATGAAGGAAGAAATGTACTGTACCAGGTCCATATAAGTAGTGTTCATCGTATTATGAAATATTACCTGCCAGATGAAAGTTGGTCTGAGTGTAGTTGAACACAATCAAGCATTTATTGATTTTTCATATAATGAGAAAATATAATACATTCCCATAGATTTGAAATATATTGTATATAATAAAAACAGCATCATGAGACAGATTTATTAGGGGTTAGGGAACTACTGGAAAAGTTTGCTGTACTCATTGAATAATCATCAGGTGCCATGTGCGCAGTGATACAAATCATTAGCAGTGTTCATTGTGTCAGATGGTAAATGCCTGTACTGCTTTGTTAGAAGTGAAACTTATCTAACACTCATCAAAGACTCAAGCTCAAAAGTAACTGCAAGTACTAATTAGTAATCTGTAGAACACTCATGATCAATTCTGTCACACGTTGTCCTACAGTAGCTGGAGCATAATGGAGAATGTGGTGTGTATTGGGGTGGATGCGTATAGAGGAGATGGAGCTGCCCATCCAGGCCATTCTCCACCACCCAGAGGTGTCCAGTTCCAACCAGGATGCAACTAACCGCACTCCCACCCCCGTGTTCACACAGCCTGGTCACCCCGTGGTGTCCCGTTTGACCTCTGTGGTAAAACACGGCGAGCTGGTGACATATCAGTGGGACGTTCTCTATTGTGCATGACCCGGCAGACTTTGAAATCTATATCCAGAGGAATGTTGGATGATTGCTCCACTTTCCGAGGGGGTGAAGACTCTTAACTGTCACTGCAAGGAAAACACAACCGTCATCTGGCCTTAAAGTGGAATCTCGCAGAGCTTCTTGTTTTCTTTTCTTTGTTGGAGTGAATTAAGACAAAACAGAGCGAGTCACCTCAAAGTGCAGCCCGGGTTTACTCTGAGTGTCCTTTATGTGCTGCAAGTGAGTCATGACGTGGACGGGGAGTGAGGAGCTTTCCCCCGACGAGGTCAGCGTTGGCACGACAACTGCAGTGCCCGTCCTCGCCTCCGGGGCACCGGCTACGCAGAAGCCGTCTGTTGTCATGACAGTTCACCGCTAGTCCCCGCTCCTGCTCCCTAAACTGGATGCTGGGCACCCTGCCACAGTGGAAACCTACAGAAAAGTGGCCTTGTGCCCAAGGGAAGAGCCTACACAGTGAAGGAAACGCTCCCCACAGCGGCGCTGCCCGGAACGCCCTTCGCGGCCGGCGGCACTGAAGGCTGAGCCAGCCCTAGCGTGCAGCTGAGCGTGCTCGTTCTGGCCCAGTGTATTACAAGCCGTCCCGACACCTGTGAAAACCACATTAAATCATCCCCGGTACTGTTAACGGAGCCGGTGAGCAGGTGGGTAAAGAAAACAATTAAACAAGCTTGCTTAAAAAGCTGGGGGGGGGACATGGTGAAAGAGGATAGGGCTGCCAGTGTCAAACCGAGGTCAGTGCTACAGTGTCGCCCTTGTGTCCGTGCAGCATGTAGGATGCAGTGTTACAGTAAAAAATACTGCTTCTTAATTGCTGTTTTGTGGTGTTTTGACTGCCTAAGAGTTGGGAAAGGGTGCGATCGCAGTGTGGGACAAGAGTGTAGTGGACGAATCGAGCGAGCCTGGGTTTGTGGGTGGCCTGATGTAACTCACACCTGTGACATCCTGACATGGGCGTGGTATCCTGAGCACAGGAGGCAGGTGAACAAGTGAGTCAACAAGCTCTTCCGGAGATCGGGGGGGGGGGGGGCAGCCGCAGCATCTTCAGAAGACAATGAACATGCCATAATGCACCTCTTATTTACAATGATTACATTCTTTAATCTATTCTCTTACTGGGTTTGCTGCAAAGCTCATAGTATTTAGCCTGGTGCAGATAAATGCGTAAATGTACGTTTTGTGTACTATGCCCCACATGGTCACCATGAAATATCATTTCTGCAGGGCCACGGTGCAATTTCGGATGAAGTAATGATACAGTAATATGCAAAACTAGAAAAAGCATCTGCGCATCATTCACACCTCGGACAATCAGTCACATCCAACACACACACAATAAAAAGCATTTGGAATAAATATTTGTTTTCACTTGTCCATGCTGATGTAACACTAGGGCTGCTTGACGAGTTTAACCCTTGCATTTAGCAACAGCATAAAAAAAAAAAAAACTTTGAGTATTATTAGGTTCAGTAGATAAGTAGGTAAAAGAACCTGCAGCATGTACAGGTGGGATGTTAATCTTCAAGAAATTGTGGCCAAGTACATGCTTAAGTCAAGGAGATCACTATGTGTAAGGAACAATGTGAAATGTGAACTGGTAATATATGAAGAAAATGCACTGCTTGTGTTGTATGTAGATGCTGAATGACAGCGTGAATGTAATTTCAACCCCTGAGCAGGTCGTCAATGCAATGCTGCGAGTGGCACCTTCCGGAAGGGTCTGTTTCTCGATTCCCCCCACCCCCTCCATTTTACACCTCCTTGCTTGCAAAGAAATACACCGGCAATAAAGTTCAGAGTAAAACATGAACTTACTGGGAACTGGCCTCTGTTATGTTTTGCCAGTTTCATTGGGTGTTAATGGAATCTTGGACCTTTCCCTTGGTCACATAACCCCTGCAGGTGACCCCTGTTTCTTACTAACAGAGGTCTTGTCTGGGCTGTGTTCGTATCAGGTGTCACGGTGCTAATTACTGAAGGAGAAATACTTCCTTCGATGCCTTTCCCTCGCCAAGCGTAGAAATATGCCGATCTCTATCAATCTTACACCAACACTGCCACCTATCGGAGCAGAGAGGTGTTACATACTAGACAGCAAGTAACACGATACCGTATGTAAAATGTTAATAAACATTACGGAATAATTATGGCACTATCGGTTATAGAAACAGCATTAAAAATTATGTTTTAAGGAAATACGAATATATTGAATGCAGATTTATTCGAATTACTATTGCTTTTTTTTGTTTGCATCTCAGTAAAATCTGGCATATTTAACTATTTTTAATTTTACGATTGTGCCTCGGGAGACGTATTTTTGTTTTGTCTTGCATCTTGTCCACTATGCAGTTTCCTAGTGCTTTAACCAAAGAATTTCTTTTGTGTAGAACTAAACGAGGACATTTCAATGACTCTTTGTTAGAAGCCAAGGAGATCTAGGCCGAACTAGCAATTGTATAAAAAGCTGAGTTCGGTGCAGTGAATGAATGCAGCCACTGTGGGAAAGACATGAGGCATTTCCAGCAAGTTCTTCATTGAGATTTTAAAAAAATATATAAAATAATTTAAAAAAAACTTTGAAGGAAAATCTTGCGGCGGCAGACTTTGACCTTTTTAATCACCATTTATAGTGTGGGTGGATTCATTCCATAACTGAACAGGAAATCTGAAATTTCCAGTCACCTGATACAAGAGGGTAGAAGTACACAGAACTGATCAGTGTGCATGGTGACCACAGTAGTCTGTATGTTACTGTATGTTACTGTATGTAACTGCATGTTACTGTATGTAACTGCATGTTACTGTATGTAACTGCATGTTACTCTACCGCCACAGCAAACCAGACGAAATCCACACACATAATTAAGAATTAAAACCCCCAACTCAGGAGGTGTAAAGCAACAGTTCTACCCACCTGCTTAGTAGTTTTCCCCTTTAGAAGAGTATATAGTATTTGTATATTTTTAAGTTATAATTAGCTGCAATTTACTGCTCATATTACAAAGGGTGGAGGAGGAGATGAAATCCATCTGAACCTTTACAATGCATGATTGATTATTATGGTAACACTTTACTTGACAGGGCACTAATACGTAGTAATAACTCAGTTACTACTGAAGTACAAATTATGAACAAACCATGAACAAATATAGTTGCTGCTTCAGATAAAAGATGCATCATGATTCATTAATGATGAGCAGACATGAGATCAGTATGTAATTAAGACTTTGTTTGTAGTTAATTAATACATAAGTAATCATATAATACTATATTATCCCCCTTTACGTAAAGTGTTACTGTACATAGATATTTTCATCATGCATTTTTAAGATCAATAAATCATCCTCAACTTGAAACTTGGTTCAGAAGGAATTTACATTGGCACATTACCGGCCTAGATGTGACAGCGGCAAGCATGAGCAGGAGCCATAATTGCGGAAAGTGATGTGAGTGCAGCTGATATACGTGACATCAAACAGGAAGCTTCGCTCATGCTGGGAAGCAGCTGGTCTGCTTCACCCAGTCAGCAGTAACCACAACCCGATAACCCATGCTGCCCTGTCAGTCACTGGGCGCGGTGGTGGTGGCAGGAATTCCCACAGCATCTCTGTCTGGCGTACACGCAAGAGCCCACCGTGGCATGCTCAGGCATGTATAACATTCTTACCCACACGCACAAAGCAGCCGTAGACACCCAACCTTGCAAAATAAGGTCCGCTTAGCCGACTGGAGTGTAGACACCTGATTGTCACTCCATAGAGCGGGCGACTAATCCTATTGTTCTCTCTATAGGATTACAGTTCCATATCTCTCCCTCCCTTTGGGCTTGCTGGAGAGAGAAAGCAGATTAGGGGGATTAAGCCGTGTCCTCCTCCCATGGCGAGGCAGGACTCTGGATGCTGGTGAGCAGAAGTTGTTCCTGCACCACCGGATCCCACCCCTGGTGAGTTAGTGAAAGCAATCACATTCCTTACCAGGTCGCATTGGAGCTCCGTTTGACATCACCGTTTTCCGAAATACCTGGAGATGAGAAATGGATATAGCGAAGCCGTCATTAGTTTTATTCTGCGCATGACTAACTTCAGTGTTTACGACATTACCCAACATTCCATTCACTGGGCCTTCCAAAGCCTCCTTCCTGTAATCTGTCACAGTAGCATTCATCTGTCTGGCCATACCACATTTTTAAATGGAAAGTCACTATGTAAACATGAGTCTTATGACTTCCTATAACATGCAGAGGACAGATATGTGTATTACTGTTATAGATATATCACAAAAAGAATGATTATGGTCTGGATATTGGTTAGAAAACCAGTTTGACTACAAAGCTTTGATTATTTCTGATTAGGCAAACTAAAGAAATGAAACTTGTTTGCTTTGACTTTTTGATGTGTATGTAGTACTGAAACCTCTATGTGTGACTAACCTAAAATATTACAGAAATCAGATGTTTAAAAACAAAACAGATTTTAGTAACTTCTGGTACTTCCACCGATACACAGAAATGTCTTTCGAATCTTGAGAGAAAACTGTTTCAGGAAAGTCCTACAAAAACTGAAAATCTGGGTATGTCCAGTTGTGAGGAAAACAAAGATCTGAATAATTTACAGTCAAAGGGCTTGTTATCAAAAATGTTTCTAATTTTGTTTAGCAGTTAATCTCATTATGTACAATTTTTCATGGCATTGTCAGAGTGTCTGAATGCTGATGCACTATTTGGCTATAAGAATACATGTATATAGATTTTCTTTTTTTGCTGCTTCATCTTCATAAATGTTTATATAGAACTGACCCCCACGAACTTGCACATGACAAGTGGGTATAGAAAATGGATGGATGGATGATATATTTAAATCATATTCAGAGATTGGTTCGATTTTGTTGCCTATGACAGTATTTGACTCCCCATGATAACCTGACCCATACATTTCATGTTAGAAGTTTTGTGGTATGATATACAGCGTGATGCAGATCCATTGGATCACTGTATTGACTCTTGTGATATTTTGTTTAATTAGTTTAATTCGGTGACAATACAGTATACAATTGTTCACACTTTAATTTTATGTCGCAATTATATTTTAACCATTGCAGTTTGTAAATGAAAGTGTAAGATGGTCAGCTCAGGCATTAAGAGTAAATAAACTGAACGCAAGTATTAATGTGGAACTAAATAATCTAAATTAGGAAGTTTAAATCAGCCATCTTCGTAAGTGTTCACATCATCATTTGACAAGAATTAAATTTTATATTGCGTTTTCCAGCGAGGCAGAGAAACCACACACGCACCCTGTCCCTTTAAAACTTATTATCACCTGATTTCTGCGCAAATAGCAAGACTTTTAAAGTCACGTCCTGCAGAGCGAGGCTGCCCGTAACTGGGTGGTGACGGCCACGTATGTGACAGCGCAGCCGGTCAATCGAAATCACGCATAAGGGCAGAGTGGGAGGAGCTTCTTCAAATCGACCAATTCCTAAGTCACATTGGGGCGGTGCATGTCCCACTTTTAAAAAGTCAGTGGACTTATCCAAAGAAACGGTAGAGAGTACTTGAACGTATGTTCCTGTGCTCGATACCATTTGCTAATTTACCGGAAAGAAGGAAATAGGCTGTCTGAAAATGAGATTTATTTTATTTTACTTCGCCGGGCCCATTATCCCCGTAGCAACAGAAACAGTAGCCAAAGAGGTGAGAGACGGGTAGTTTTTAAACAACGATCTTCACGTTTATCCGGCTTTTCGCTGTTGCCTGGTAACTTAACCTTCTCCTCGGTGTGATATAGTTATCTGTGGTGTACAGTCGTGAATTTTATTTGCCGTTAAAATTCGTCTCGTGAGAAAACCCGCGAAGTCAACGAGCGTCAGGGAAGCCGTGCTTATTTTGTATTATTTGTTAAGAAGTGAACAGAGCTTGTTAAGTAAAGTCAGTTTGTCAGTATCTGTTAAGTAGTAAGACAGACAGAGCCGCACAGAAACAAAGGAGCAGGTCCGAGCAAAAACAGTTTTGAGTTACATTGAGTTACACTCAAGTTAACTCAACTTTATAGCGTATTAGTGTAAGTCTAATCGACATTAGATCAAAATGCGACGGCGGTCATTTTGGTTTTCAGTACACAAGCAGACCTTCCTTCTAATGTGTATTCACCAAACTGAAATTAAGCCAAGCTATTTACATGGCACAGACACTTGGAAGGGCGTGTAAGTAGGAAATAGATCGAGTCACGACAGAAGGTGCAAACTAGACCTCCGGTTAAAAGTTGTTTGCAGTGTATCATTGCCGGTGTTACACAGTTGATGGTCTTAGGTCCAAACTGTACACTGTTTACCAGTCTGATGTGTCAGTGGACGTGGAGCAGAGTCACACGCTTACACAAGTGCTGTAACACCATAGCTCAGAGGTGGGGTTCCGTGCGCTGCCAGGCGAGCAGATGTGTGGCGCTGCCCGAATTTGTGGAGCCGAACGTCTAAAAACGAAAAGTGATTTCAGCCTGGATGGACGCTTGTTGTTCTGCTCGCTCTCACGCCCCACATGCAGTTAAATACTTTCCGGAGCATGAAGGTTACTGCTTATCAGATATACAGAGTGTAGATCTCCGTGCTTTCGCTCTTAAGAATCTAAGAAAAAGTTTTTTATATAACATATTTCTAAATATACGTGTACTGGAAACATATATTCTAATATACAAAGTGTATATATAATTTGTTAATGTATTCATATATTATGGCACAGCATGTATTCTTTGCACATTTAATTATTACCCCAGCTGTTTTAAAAGTTAATGTTTGTATTTTTAATTATAAGTAGCATGTGGATCGTTACATTTGAATGTGGTTGTAAATCAGCTCTCCAAGCGGTAACAAGGTTGACGGCACCTTCAGGGTATTGGCAGACATTGGTTGTCTGAAATAGCGACTGCAGCTGGTTTATGGTCGCGATTTGGAAGGGTACTGCACCTGACTTGGTGTTTTTTTTTATGAGTCAAGTGTACAAGGTGTACGTTTTTGGCCTCCACAGTTGTGGAGGCAAAATGCTAATCCCCTTTTTATGGGAGGTTAGCGGACATATCAGTGGGTTCGATTTCAGCCCCGGGTGGTATTTCTCAGCCCAGTTTGCTGACACTCTTCATCTGTATTTAATCAACACCACCTGAAATATTGCATTCAAATAGCTGGCACTCAGATGTAGTCCATGAAGATGTTGAATGGCTGACTGGCAGAACTGGCCACTTGGGTAAGCAGGGTCTTTTCAACATCTTGTCATTAAAACTGATTAGGTTTTTAATAGTGCCTTAAGTTACTATGTCCTGCTACAGTAACCCTAACCAGCCATAGATTCTAATAAGAGACTGATTGTTCCCCAAGCCTCTTCTCTTTCTCTTTTTTTGCATCAATGGAGTCGTCACTCTAAGTGATTTTATTGCTCGTTCTTGGAGCCTGACCAGGATGTTTATGTGAGAACATACACGAGGGTTAGATAACTGGTGTGGCAAAAATAAAACCGGAGGCATTAAAATACATTTTATTACTTTCTGATGGACACCTGAGATCCTGGGTAATGCAACATAGTGACGAATGATTATTCCATTGATGCAAATGGGGATTGATGGTTCAGCAAAAAAAGCATTTCCATCTGACTCCTGAGGAACAGAAATCTAAGCTGTAGGATTCCTGTTCTTCGTAGACAGGGTGTCCTGCACTAGCCCCAGTCTCAACTTCTACGTGTGTGACTAAAGTTATCTTTTGAAATACACTGATCACATAAGTTGCAAATTGGTCACAAAACGTAAGGTAGCTTTAAAACTGGTTTTTCTAGAATACTTTCAGCCCGAAAAACAGGAGTCAAAGGAAAATGTATGTAGCTTCTATTTTCTAATACTTTAGTTCTTAACGAGGCTTATTCCGTGCTGGTCCTTCAGAGTATTTTTTTTCTTGGTATAATTAAATGCATTGCCAAAAACAAGGTGCTTTCTGGGTCTCCAAAACTCCTGATTTCTGGACTATTGAGTTCTGCTGAGTTAAAAACAAAAAAAAAGCTTTCACACACAAAACAGAAGTTTAACAAGCATGGCTCTCAAAACTCTCACTCAGCTGAACATGCATGTATTTAACATGCATAAACATCAATGAACATGCACAATCGCAAGGATCCCACCGAGCTCTTAAGAAGAAACTGTCCAGATCCGCATGACACAAACACTTGGGCTAAGCAGCCCAGTGCAGATCAGGAGTATTCCCGGAGAAGAATACTGCTGTAATATATTCTCCTCCTATAGTTAGTTACTTCATGACTGTATGGAGTAGCCATTTTGCAGTTTCACCATATCGCTCTTCAGGATGTGGCCCATACATCCGCTATGGTGTCATGTATGCATTGCTTGATGTATTTATATATATTTATTTATACATGTGTATATTTTTATAGCTGATAGATGCAGGTCTGTGTGTTCAGTAGTAAGGAGATGGGCATCAACAGAAGAATGTGTTCAGTAAAAGAAGCGAAAAATAACACTGTAATATGGTAGTTGGAAGTTTTTTGTCTTTAACTCAAGTAGTGTCTTATGAGTCTAGAGTGAATGAAAGTTTTAGCCATTGTGCCAAACATAGTGGTTGATTAGATTTGGGGGTGGGCGTGTGTGTGTGTTTTGGGGGTTGGGCTTATGTTGCCCCATTTGCCCATGTTCTTTGGCACAGTGTTCAGGGAGACCTATCTCTCCGCATGGCCCCGCCTTCTCAGCTGGAAAAGCCCCTGGAACAGGCTGCCCTAGCAGATCTCCAAAGGAGCACGAAGCAGCATCATCATGCCCCTTTTTCAGGGATTGCAGGAGGTAACTGGGAACCTGCAGATGATTAACTGAACTTTTGTTCCATAACGAAGGTGCTCATTGGCTCTTAGGAGTGGGAATGATAAGGGTAGGGTAGTCGGTGTTCATTCCGTTCATTTTTTCACACAGCTGGCATATCTGTGCATCGTGCTCTGACTGCTTAGTTTTGCTGGATGTGAGTAGATTAATGTTTTGAGCAGAACGTGTCCGCTTTTCTCAGGCTGCCAGGTTTGCTTGGGTAGCCCCAGAGAACAGCATGTTGGTATCGTATTTCGGGTGTGGCGGAGAAGCCAGTGGCATACTGTGGCTGGGACGGGGCAGACAAAAGCCCGGCAGCATTTACAGACCCTTGGAAAACATTTTTGAGCTACAGGAAACAGCGGCAGATGAGCAGAACGATAACATTGAGGAACTGACCCAGTGTGAGGATCTGAGTACTGACTGCTGGCTTAAGTTGCCTGTGTGTGTCAGTAAACATGTGCTGGTGAACTTGAGAGAGAATTAATACTTTGGCTGATGATCCTATATGACAATAGAAAATGAATATTAATATTGATTTTTTAATGTTTAGAACTTACTGGCTGTAAAAACCCTGTGTAAACCCCACTGTAAATGATATTTAAAAGAAAGCCTTATATCTAAAAATGTCCAATAGGGAATAATCAGATTTTTTTTTCTCTAAAGACTATGGTGCATTGCAGAGTGTCTTGGTAATGATAGGACATTGTTCTTGATTTAAGTAATTAAATTGATTTAATCATTTTCCACCTCTACAGATAACGGTCATGTTACCTGCAGTTAACTTTACACATTTCATACGGGTGAAAATTCTACACATGGGCTCACACGCGCAGCTTAGTCGGTGATACTCGTGGCACGTGCTGTCTCGCACGGGACATGTACGCTTACACGCGGGGCACATGACTTCATGTCCTCCGTGTCGGGTTTCTCGAGCAACTGGTGCGGTTTCGCGAGGACGTGACCATGATAATGTAAATTGTACCGTGCCTCTCCCTTCCAGAGCAAGCTGATCTGCTATGACCAGAAGAACCAGAGCTACACCTGTGAATCGGGCCACTGCTGCGGAGAGTCCGAATGCTGCGGCCACTACTATCAGCTTTGGTGTAAGTCATTCCCCCCAATTCCTGCCCAACTGTTATTTACCGCTAACCTGTTTCTTAAATCCACCTCCAGCATGCTTATAAACCTCACCCCTATAGTACCAGCTGCACTATTTCTGTACCCTATCTACTCCACGTAAAATGTTAAGTGCCATTGTAGATAAGCTGGCTGAAGAAGACTGGCATAGATTGTTGTTGGCGAATGGATGATTCTGCTGGTTGGTTCCAATGGGAAGCAGAGCTCATAAAGGGGTAGAGATGATTGGTTATTGGTTTGGTCTGTGTGGCTGTAATTGGCTGGGACCAACCCCGGTGGATGTGGTTTGCCAGGGTTCTGGCTGGTGTGGACCCTCATCATCACCCTGAGCTGCTGCTGCATCTGCCACCACCGCCGGGCCAAACTCCGCCTCCAGCAGCAGCAACGGCAGCATGAAATCAACCTCATCGCCTACAGGGAGGCCCACAACCACTCGTCTCTGCCTTTCTACTTCAGTGAGTGCGCTGTCCAACAGACTTCCTTCTTTCACTCCCAGCTTTTGAATTGTCAGCACTTGATAGTCACTTGACTTGATAGTCAACTTGAATCAAGTTGACTGGTTTTCCAAGATCAGTCAAGTCGAAAGGGTAAATTATCCATCTGTCTGTCCAGTAAAAGTTTGTTGTTTGGGGGGCTGGAACCTCTTTCAGCCAAATTTCAGTTATCTAAAAGCTCATGTTATTCAGTGATGAATTAATTAGGTTAATTGGGTACCAGAGAGGGGGCCTTTTTAAGGAGAGCTGTTGGTGTGTGTATGTAGGTATATGTTGTATGATTGCAGGAGCATTTGATGTGTACATATACCTGTCAGCTACTTTCTCACTTTCCTTCACAGGGTTATTGCCCAGCTACCTTCTCCCTGCCTATGACGAGGTGGTTAGCCACCCCCCGACACCGCCCCCCCCGTACAGCATCAGGCCGCCCAGCCAGATGGCCCCCCTGGACCCTTTCGTCCCCGAGCGGACGGACGAGCTCCAGCCACTGAGCAGCCCCAGGCCCCATGAGTGTGAGCCCGCCCCTCCGGACGCCCACGAGGACGAGGCGTCCCAGCAGCTTCGGGAGGGCAAGGAGCAGACCCCAGGACGGCACCGGCGCTTCACGGGAGACTCGGGAATCGAGGTGTGTGTTTGCAGCCACGGGCAGGGCGGCGACCCGCTGGAGCTGCTGGACTTCTGCGACAGCTGCATTGCGGACAGCCCCGGGAACGAGGAGCCGGGCATGGAGCCCAGGGCCCCTGGGTACCTCCTACACACCATCAGTGAGCAGGAGGGACACAGCCAAGCCAGTAGCCCTGGCCTCAGAGCTGAGGTGGATGAAGAAGACAGCATTGTTTTTATTTCCTGTGTGTGTGTGTGTGCGTGTGTGCGTGTGTGCGCGCGCGTGCGTCAATAGTGAGGTACATTCTGACTCATGAGCAGGATCCCGCAAAGCCTTCTCCCACAACAGGGCTTTCCAATAGCCAATGGGAATGCACGATCAGCTAGCAGCAGCAGACTGGCTGCCAGAGGTGACGCAGCTGTAAGTTGCCACTAGGGGGCCCCCTGTGGTTCACGGCCGGTGCTAGACCTGTTTCTGGCACGGTCCCGGGTCAGGTTAAAAAGGCCACTTGCACTGGTGCTCTGAACAACATGTCTGGTTCATTAGGTAATGGCTTAACACCCATTTAAGATTTCTCAGATATGTGTATTTATTCATTATTAGCATTCTAAAGGGAAATGTAGGTTCATCTACAGACATTGTGGATTTTAATTTTCATCACATTTTGCAGTCTGGTGTGTCTGACAGTTCTTATAACCATGAGTGATATTAAGCTATTTCTTACTTCATGTGGCTACTTTTAACCAAGTGAATGAATAGACAGAAAATAAGCACTCAATCACAAAGATTTTTCTACTTGTGGTTTATATAAGCAAAACATCTACATCTATGGTCTTCGATGTGCAATTATTTTAGTTTTGAATGGAGTTCGTATGTACGTCTGATTTGCTTTTTTTGCTGTTCTACACTAGGCTTTAAGAGGTTGAAACCAGTTGTAGCGTTAAATTGGTCGCTTGTGTGGTTGTTCTGACCATGAGCAGTCAGCTCCAGTGAGGGAAACGCGGAAGAGCTCTCAGGTACAGGTGACACAGTCCCACAGATGGACCCTTTAAGGTGGTGATACACACAGCAACAACACAGTTGCCAACCAGGGGTGACAAAGGAAAGCTCATCTGGATCTGGATGATCACAAAAAGTTGCCCATCTGTGATCAAAGTTTTTCAAGTAGAAAAATGTTGCCTAAAATCAATGGGATAGAGCCCAAGCAACTTTACTCAAAACGTTGCCCTGTGTTTCATCACCCTTACTGGTCTAGTCTGACTCTTTGATGAGCTTTAACTACTTGGGGTTGTAGCTGAGCTATTGAAAGCTTATAGAGGGATTGTCATCTGCATTTTTGTTCAGTAGATATTAGTTCAAAATGTACCATAAGTGACTATGATTGTCTTAAATCCAAATCTGTCTGATGAGCTAGTTGTAAAAATGTTTATCAACCATCTGGTTTTGCCTTAAAACTAAGAACTGGTTTATGTTATAAAGAATCTCTCTTTTGTTATATAATATGCCACATTGTTCCAGGGCATCAAACCAAAAATACTGTAAATTCAGTTACTGTAAGTTGTGCATCCCTTTTGTTAATGTGACCAAATGTCTCTGGGCTTCCTGTTTTATATTGGAATGTGTTTTTTATGTAGAACGGCTACAGCTGAATGCTGAATGAAGTGCCAGAGCGAGCCGGAGCTGGCAGCTGCCTTTCTTTCCTCCTCTGGCTGTGTGCTCAGCTATATTTTACTCTGATTTCCCGTAGCATTTTGCACAGTGCAATTTACCAGCATTATTTGTAGCATTTTGTAAGATGTGATTAATGTGGAGAAAATAAAAAGCCACATTGTAATGCCTTTTCTGTTTCTTTTAATTTAAATAAGATAAGCACATTAGTATTATATGTAAAGAGCTGTCAGTGAAAGGCAGCTGTGGAACTGCTTTTAGCAGAACGACGTGTTGGTATTAATGTACAATGCGCATATTGGCCTGTAGAGGGCATCAGAATGCAAACCAACACGACTTCGTATGTTTCCCACGTTAATCCTTAGGGATGGCCTCGCATTAGGCCTAGGTTGTTTTCTTCTTCACCACAGTTACCCCCTTCAGTTTCAAAATGATAAAAAAATATTTCTCAGAATGCTGTTCAACGATATGTTTCACTGCAGCGGTTTTGTATAATTAAGAATCATTTACCGTGAATTGGACCATCCTGTGGAAATTGATGAAGTTAAAAAGTCAGTCAAAAAGGAGTTTGCGTGCATGGTTTTCTCGTGGACTCTCCACTTTCGTCGGGCGGTATAAAAAGGGTGCTTCCTGTCTTGTGTCCTGTGCGGTCTGCGATGGGCAGTAGCCACCCCCAAGGACTTCAGTATGAATAAGGACGTTCTTCATAGTTCGTAATCACAGTTTGCAGATTTACAATCAGGAAATCAATATCAAAGATCATTTATATTTCCCTATCACTGGTTACACTTCAATGCTCGGTGTTCACTATGCTCTGGTGCCTAAACGCAACATTCACGACTCACCTTAGAAACACTTTCATCAGTTAAACGCTTTATCGCTTCTACTGCATGCTGCGAACACGTAACTAAAGGGGGGCTGACAAGAGGTATACCCCTAAATGGGATGCCAGTCACAAACGCACTCACTGAATCCTAGAGTTATGCCTAATCTAGAGACATCACTTAGTTTAATTGCATGTTTTAGACTGCAAATTCGTGTGAAACATGCACACTCCACCAGCACAGCAGAGGTGAGATTCGAACAGATAATCCTGAAGGTGTGAGGTATCTGTTCTAGTCACTATATCGCCGTTAATTTAAGCATATAAACCTAAATTTTATTCGGTATCAATCGATTAATTCATTTTTAGTATAGAAACGTTGAGGTAATCGAATATTTTGATTGATAACGCTATGCAGAAAAATATCAATCCGACACATTGGTCACAAAGTCGCTTTCAATCGTGTAGTTTCTATTCGACAACAAAGCAAATGCGGGTTCACATTTGCTCAGATTTAAATAAAGATAATACCTGTACCGAGAAATGCTACTGGTCCAATGACGCTATTAGACAATTTAACCTTATAGGCTAATTACAGTAGCCATGTACAGTAGTCTTTATTCGCATCACGTGAGTGTTTTATTAGTGGTGAATTACCTACCTGACAACCATCCGTATTTGATTAGTTGTGTCATAAACAATTAATGCCGTGTCTTCAACTTTCAGCAATCTGAACAGTACAGTGACATATTAAGAAAAAATTGGTATTGAAAATGTCTGCATTTGATGTTTATGCCCAAAATGTATTTTACGTTTAAATAGGCTATTTAATGTCAAATATATTAGAATCACACAGCAACCCTACTAGTTAAACTGTATTATATATGTATGAATGGATATATTAACATTATTAGCTTCCTCAGGTGCAGGCTGAGGCTTTAGCTATTTGTATGAAGGATTTGCATGTTCTCCCCTGTTTGCAGCTTCTGGTCGGCTGTCTGATGTAAATCGCTGACTCCAAACTGGCCTTCGCATGTGAAGGTACTGGAAGAGGTGCGTGTAGGTACCCAGTGAAAGGATGACATCTGCTCTAAGGACTGTATCATATCCTAACGCCTAGGGTTTATTAAAATTCATAACTCAAACAGAATATTTTTTAGTGAGGAGGTACTTTGAGATTTGATGAGTCTTGTTAGCTAGTTAAGAGATCACTGTGCACTTTCGATTCCTGCTTGATTAAGTCCATTCTGAGCAATAACGCAAGACTGACAAATTAGAAATTAGTTTACCCGCTCAGTGACTGACAGCGTACAATAATTCCACCAAGATTCTTGTTTCAAATTCTTGTCGCTAGGGCTGACAACGAGAAGACATTTTTCTGTTTCAGGCAGCTGTCTATGGAACATAGCTTCAATGTCAGTGTCATCCTTAGTTGGATGAACGTGTTGGATTATGCTGCAGAGCCCGATTATAGCTAGTAGAGATAACCACTGAAAAGCAGTGTAAATCTGTTTAAAGGTATAGCGGATTAGTAAAAGCAAGGTCACGGGTCATCAGCTGTGCATGTTGTGCGTGAGGAAGTGCAGCTGGGAAGCTGTGTTTTGGTTGCCCCTTTTCCCTTAGATCACCGTCATCTCTCCGTCGTGCGACGTTAAGTTTTCCTACTGCCAGAACATGTAATACAAGCGCGAGTCTGCCCTTTGGATACTGGCTGATCGTGCTGAGTTCATTCCTCATCATCTTTATGGTGAGGCTCCGCAATTTCGATAAATCGTGACGGCATGATAAACCACCGTCGGGTGTGTGTGGAGGGGGAGTTATGAGGGCTTGCGGCTGCGTGGCAGACGTGAAATATGGCGCAACATCACCTACTAGTGGTCATTTTGCTAAATATTTTGCCCAGTCCTTAAAATGACCCTTTTGGAGGATCATATATACCTATGACAGAGTTCTCGCTCTCTCATCTCCAGGTCATTGTCTTAATGTCATTTCCCCAGTGCAGGTGCTTCGTTGTACATTCTCTGAATTTATGAGCTGTGCCATAAATTCAGCCCTGTTAGGGTTGCAAAAACTGCATGTGTGAGACAATCTCTGATCTCTGGTCTGTAATTTCCATTCTCCTAAGCACGGGCCAGATAAGATAAAGCAAACACTTTAAAGGAGTCTCTTCAATGTCCTTTTATTCAGGGTCACCTGCGTTTCTTGCACGACTGCATTTTTACTACTGACTGGAAAGTGCAGGGTGTAAGTCACTGACTAAAAGATAGAAGAGGGTCCTATAACATATTAGCTCACTGTCACCTGTCACTGTTCTCCTAATTCTTCATTTGTTCTGTATATGGGGAATCTCAAGAGGCAATGGGATGTTTTAGAATGAAAACAATTCACATCTTTTTACTATTTTCACCTATTTTATATATTCATTATGCAATAAAACAGTTGGTATTGATGCCATGACCAGGTGGTTCACGTATCTGGTTGCAGTCTCATTTTACATTATATTCATTTAGCTGGCAATTTTATCCAGAACGACATCATCTTTTGAGAAAGCAGAGCCACACAACTTGAACTGGAGACCTTCCATTCATAGTCACAGCACCCTAACCCACTGACCCGTGCACTAACCCCAGACAAATCATCGTATTGGACACATTTCAGGAAGCTCAGTGTGGGCATTAATTGCGGGGACATTAATTGTAGCTGTGTGATCTGAAGCATTCCTAAGAGAACAGGATTCACAGAAAACAGTATGCAAAGAAGTAATTGCATAATCTTAAGCAAGACCCAATGCCTTCAGCCATAATGGAAAAATGTGCTTGGAGATGACATAGGAAAATATTTCTCCTAAATCCTAAAATCTCTGAGGTGTTTATTTGGCCACTTAACGTGCCCTGAATAAAATTAGCAATCATCACTCAATTACTTTTGTGCTTTTATGGCTTTTAAAGTACTTTGGAAACAACTCCGATCTAATTAGGTAGTTAAGAATCTCAGGGTACTGTAAATGTCGCCACAAGGGGTCGCTGTAGAATGTAAACATCTATTGCAGGGGTGAGAGAACTTCTCGTCTTTTAGGAGAACATTGTACCTGAATGGAGGTGGTGACGATGTGTTCCTAAACCGTAGGGATGTTTGTGGTATGATTTAAGTTAGAGGATTTCTCCCCGTTATATCAATCCATTAACTTTGCAGTAGCAACTGATTGCCATTTTGCTTTTAATGAAACCTGATGTAACTAAGAAATAAACATGTTTACAGAATAAATCTATTTCTGGGTGCTGCGGTGGCTTAGTGGGTATCACTTTTGCTTCTTGCCTCCATATTTAGGTTCGAAACCCATCTCTGGTCTCTGTGTGGAGTTAGTCATCTTGGTTTCCTCCCGCACTACAAAGACGCGTAGTTAGGCTAGTTGGTGTGTAAATTGTCCATAGAGTATGTTTTTGTGTTTGCATCAAAGTGGACTGACATCCCAACCAAGGTGTACGTCTTGTGCCGTATGTTGCCAAAGATTCAACCCCCCCGTGCCTCTAAACAGAATAAGTGCTTGGAAGATAGAATGATAAATGTTTTTGCATCTTTAACTAGGAACTGATTTTAAATGATCATGTGAAATATTACTAATTGCTTTATAGGTATACTAAAATTTAAAAATGCTGATTTTCTTCAACACCAGGGCAGTAACTCAAGATAATGTGTAAGTTGAACCCAGTGATTAAACCTCCAAATAGTTTATGGGTGTCGACATCAATATGACAGTAAGCATTTGCAAAAACCATTTTCATACAATGAAACTTTTGAAGTCATCACAAAATGCAGACCTAAATATCACACCTAAGTATTAAACAGCATTATGTTAACTTTATTCATTCGGGATTTGTTTCACTCAAATAGTAGTACACACTTTATCCTCCGATATAGTGAAACAAACATGCAATTTATTAGGAATATCATTTATTTAAAATATTGTTGTCATTACAATGCTTTAGAATGTCTCTTGCAGAGTCACACTTAAAAATACAAAGATAAAAATACAAAGACTTAAAAATTTATACTAAACAGAACTAATTTCTCTCTGATCCTAACATGTCTTACAAAATTAAACTAACGTAGTTTCGTGAGCGTGTTTGAACATCACTGTACAACCTAATAGCGAATGGTTTACAAGTACCAGTCTACTTTACTGGAATATTCTGATTTATTTATACAGTGACTCTCAGATAAAATATTTATGAATACATTAAGTACTCCGACACACCATAATGCCCGAGGAAGACCTGAATCTTATTATGGCTCAACTATGACAACCATTAAGTATTAAAGGGATCGAGATGAAAACACAGTATTGTCATAGTTTACATTATGGCAATAAATATTAACGGTTTCCTCCATGGTTTGACAACACATGCCAAGGGACTCTAAAGCCCTTTATTAAAACATAACATATGAGATTTCATAGAAATTTACCCATTTTCGCACTAAATTATCAGAATGGTGAAGAACATCCATGTACATTATTGTGCCATGTGAATCAAAATTCAGATTACGTAACATCCGAACTGGTGCATCCACTGCAGTTATGCCCCATCCCCGTAGATATAACGTACGACATGAAATACTGATATTTTGCAAAGACCAAATACAGTAAGTATGCATACATTGTGTTGTGCAATAACGACCTATCACGCAAATTTCCTGATGTTAGACCATCGTTTTCGTTGATAGACAGGCTAGCGAGTTGATTCCGACGAAGTCGCAATTTTATTAACCAACAACATAATGCTTCGCTGAATTGTTTCCATTAACTATAACTTGTTTATTTCATTACGTTATAGAGTACCATACATATATATGAGGAACCGGAATTACTAGAACAAGATACAGGTAACGGTTGCTACCTTACTTTTAAATAGGTCAGCATTTTATACAGTATTGTTCCGAGAAAGATTGCTTCATTCTTAGTTTTTTTCTGCATAATACTTATATATCAGAGTCTGGAGAGGGCATTTTAATAAATATCCCGATTCCGAACTCCCCGCATCTAGCGTACTAACCGCATCCGAAGAGTTGACAAACGTTTACGGAATAGCATAGCAGCACCCCCCGCCAAACTCCCCTCCCGAGTCCGCGAGCTTCCCAAATCCATCATCCATTGGTCTCCTGTAAACCAATCCAGACAAATCACCAGGTGGTTGCGTCCCACTGGATCTAGGTCCTGGATCTTTATTCGCTGCAGGTGCCCAGAATGCCCGCCTCAGTTCGGCTCGCCTCACCTGATTGGGTGACGGGAACGCCCGTCTGTGGGCTCTGGGAGACGCACGAGTTCATACAGAGCTCGAGCTGGAGTGAAATCAGTTCGGAGTTTCAGACGCGTAGCGGGAGCGCAGCTGGTCTGATGCGCGAGCCAGTGAGACCCACAGCGGAGATGTGGCCGGACTCCGATTGGCTCTGATAAATATTTTTTTTTTTCCATTTAGAGGTTGCCCATTATGAACATGGCAGAGCAATCGGCTGCAGTGCCCACTCCAAAGATGGCGGCGCTTTGCCGGGTTCGAGCCCTGACACTGGTTTTCTTGACTGTCAGCGGCTGTTTGGGTAGCTCGTCAAGTAGCAAAGAGGGAGTCGAAGAGACTGTCATCATAGGTCTGAGACTGGAGGACACGGATGACGTTTCCTTTATGGACAGGGGCTATCTGCGGGTCAGCGAGAGGTCCCGTGTCAAGTTGAGGGTATATGGGCAAAACATTAACAACGAGACATGGTCCAAAATCGCCTTCACAGAACACGAGAGAACTAGAGTCATCGGTAACATTGACAATTCATTCGGGGACAACAAGAGCAAAGAAGATGTATCCAGTTTCCATCCTTGCGGCATCAGGACATCGGATATTATAATTTTGCCCAGTATAATTGTGAATAGGAAAACGTCGGGGATAGTTGAAATTGAAGTGAAGCCCCTCCGCAAAACCGAGAGGAGCAAAGCTTACTACCTGTGCATCGCGACCTCAACGCCCGCGGTGCCGGGGGTCCATGACCCTTGGACCGAAAACACCTGGATCTATCACGATGGACACGACACTAAAGTGATCGTGGTGGAGGAGAAGAAGTTTCTGTTGCCGTTCTGGCTGCAAGTGATCTTCATCGCTATGCTGCTCTGTCTGTCCGGCATGTTCAGCGGGCTGAATCTGGGGCTGATGGCCCTGGATCCCATGGAGCTCCGGATAGTTCAGAACTGCGGCACCGAGAGAGAGAAGAATTACGCGAAGAAGATCGAGCCGGTGCGGAGCCAGGGGAACTACCTTCTCTGCTCGCTGCTTTTAGGAAACGTGTTAGTTAATACCACCTTGACTATATTGCTGGATGATATCGCTGGCTCTGGATTGATCGCCGTCGTTGTGTCAACGATTGGGATAGTTATATTCGGCGAAATAGTTCCGCAAGCAATATGTTCCAGGCATGGCCTTGCGGTCGGTGCCAATACCATATTTCTCACCAAATTCTTCATGCTGCTCACTTTCCCTGCCTCGTACCCGGTGAGCAAGCTGCTAGATTACCTTTTGGGACAGGAGATAGGAACCGTGTACAACCGAGAAAAACTCCTGGAGATGCTGCGGGTGACGGATCCTTATAACGACCTGGTGAAAGAGGAGCTTAACATTATTCAGGGTGCCTTGGAGCTCAGGACGAAGACCGTGGAGGATGTGATGACTCCCCTGCGCGATTGCTTCATGATTGCGGGAGACGCGATCCTGGATTTTAACACCATGTCGGAGATCATGGAGAGCGGCTACACGCGGATCCCGGTTTTCGAGGGCGAGCGGTGCAACATCGTGGACCTGCTCTTCGTCAAGGATCTGGCTTTCGTGGACCCCGATGACAGCACGCCTTTAAAGACCATCACAAAGTTCTACAGCCACCCCTTGCATTTTGTGTTCAATGACACTAAGTTGGATGCGATGCTGGAGGAGTTTAAAAAAGGTAAGGCGGCGTGTTTGTGCCCCGGCTTGGCTGGGCTGGATTTGTCTGAAAGGTGATCTGTCGTGTCTGTCTGCGATTTGCCTTGTAGTAAAGCGATGCTTCGGAAACCATCTGTATGCACGAAGGGAAAGATGGTTTATGAGGCTAAGGATTATACACGTGGAAATTACCCACCTTTAAACAAGCGCACCTTTAAAAAAAAAAAAAAAAAAAACGGTGAACAAATAAAATAAGTGTGTTAAAAATAAAGTGGAGGTACAAAGCGAATGAAGAGTTCATGTGCATAGGACTAGCGGAGTTTATCGCCCATAGAGTTAACGGTCCCCGGAGCGGTGACCCCGCCGATGACTGCCTGCTGCCGGGTGGACCGCCGGTACTGTGCATTTTATCAAAAAGCCTCAGAACTGACCGAAACTTCCCCTTATGTAGTGAATATTCGGCTTGAATGACAGTTTGACCCCAATAGATCCTGTAATGGCAAATCGAAGATTTAGACACGCTTATTTACCAAATGGCGCTGGATCCGAACACTTAAGATAACCTCAGCGTTTGCATATTACCTGGCCGTGCTCCCAGTGGCGGAAACCCACTTCTTTGTAAGTGTGCTGGGAAAATGAACGGATGAATCTGACAGTGATTGAGGTCCAAATCTTTTCCAGCGTTTACACGTGGTGAAGAATGATGTGACCTTTAAGGACAAACATCACGTTACTGAATTAAATGCAACTCATTCCATAAATTACAATAAATTTATTGTGGAAAAAACAACAAACAACCCCAGTATAGATGATGTTTGTTTGGTTTTTATCTATTTGTTTGTTACGCTATATCGGTAAGATAATAAACAATTTAGAATGGTTTTGAAAACATTGATTGCTTGGCCGTTCACTCCGTAACCAATTTGGATCCTCTTGGTAAAATGTCTCTTTGGGAGGAGGGAGGGAGGGGGGGGGCAGAGTTCGCCTTACTACTCATTGTCGTTTTCTCTCTCACTAACCTTGCGATGCATGCAAGGTTATCTAAGATTTGTTGACACACCACGAGTGATGCTGTGAATGGTTATTTGCTGATACAGCTTTTTGAAGGTAGTGAAATATATGACACAGGTGCACCTGAAGATATGCACCTTTCTTTAAACTAGTTTAACCTCCTGTCACTGAACGGGATTTGTCTGTTTAGATAATGACTTTTGAATCTCCAACCCACTGCATTCCCATTCTTTCTTGTGATTCAGACTTTGCAAAACGTTTTACCTTTTTAATCATTTGCATATAGGTTACAATTGGTCAGTAAGAATTGAGGCTGCCTGTGGTTGGTGGATGATTAGTAGCAAGTAACTGGACATTCACCTTGATTAGCAGATGGTTTGATGAATCAATGGCGCACATTAAGTCACTATTTGGGTGTCTTCAAGCCAGAACGTACATAAGCATCTGCTATGCTATGCGTTTGTGAGGGTTTGGACGTCTCCTTATCTTGCTTATGACGAATCCGTGATTTCTGATAACTGTAATTTGAGGTGGGTTTAGAGTTCACACCAATGGATGTTTAAGTGACAAAGGCCACGGAAATCCAGAACATTCTCAAACTTGGTATAAATCTGTGGTTTTCTATCCCAGTTTCTATTTCTATATACACCAACTATATATGTGTTCTGTTCCCTCAATGGTGTTCAGAAGAAAGGCTGGATGAGAAGATAATTGGTGCAACAATTTTTGTAATATATTAGGATCATTATAGGAATAGAGGACCATTAGGTTAGCGCAAAGGAGGGAAACAGTGGAACCTTACTGTAAGGACGCAGTGAGGGTCTTATGTATCCTGTGAAATCAAGGTAGTAGGTGTAGATCCACCAGAAGTTAGCAAACCCGATTAAATCTTTTCAGGCTAGAAGTTCATGGAACAATATTTCAGCAGAACATGACCCACTGTATTTAAGCAAGACAAATATTGAATTAATGTTACTTTTTGTGGTATTTTCCCCTCTAATTAAACTCTTTTGAAGTGCGATTTATGTACTGTTTTGTGATACAACTTACAAAAGGCAAATAAGAAGTTGCCCGGTCACCTGGTGTGGAATTTCGAGGTAGCAGTGCGAGTGAGTGGTTGCCCCGGGTTACCGCTGAGGTTGTAGGCATCCGCTTTAAGCAACATGTATCAGTTGACAGGCTGGCATTCTAGCACGATGGCAGGGGCACATATGGCATGAATCCAAAGGGGAATCCACCTTCTGGATTGAGCTGTGCTAATGTGATTAGATTGGGGGTTGGGGGGGGGGGGGGGGGGGTCAAAGTTTTTATTTAGTCTGGCTCTTTGGTGCAGTACACACTCAGATTAAAGTACTTTATGTGGTAAGTCAGTGTTAATTAATTTGATGGCTCTTGTGGAGTTTGTTAAGCTCGCAGGAAAAAAAATTCCACTACAAAGAACACCTGGAAAGTTTATTAGTGTAGCTTTTCTTCTGATATGTTCTCGTCTGCATTCATGAACTGGAGAAACGTCATTGTCGAAGGCCGGTGCTCTGGGAGCACGACTGACGGGTCCGGCGATGTATAGGGGGCCGAGGTGCCTCTCGGAGCCGAAAACCGGCGGAAACGTTAAGCAGCACATTAATTGCTTCTGTCAGAGGTGGAATTAGTGGTCATTTGTAGGGGAAGTTTCCCCTCCCTGACCGTAGGGTGAATGTGCAGGTGGAGAGCAGAACCTGAGAGTCTATCGGGTTTCGGTGTATGTGAGAAACCAGATACCCGCTGACATAAAACTCATATATGGCTTGAAAGATAACATTTTGAAATGATCGACTTGCAGGAGATGAAACTGTTAATTCAGTGCACTTGCTTATTTTTAAGAAAAAAGAGAAACGTTCACCCCTAAACCGTGGAGATCCGGCACACTTTCCGGCTGTCCGTGACTTGTGTGCGTGTGTCTCGTGTCGGGACAGTGAGCCGGCCACATAACCAGGGACTTGGCAGAGAAGGACAGGTTCGTCAGAAAGTTTGCCCTTTGCGGGGACTCGAGAAATCGTGGTGGAAGTGGCGGCAAAACAGCACGCGTGTAAACAGAAAATCCATGTTGATGAAATTAAAATGAAACGAATGCTGACTGATATTTCCAAGCTGGCCAATGGAATCAAATAAGCCAAAACAAAACGGATCCCACCAGTACATAGGTGTTTGTGGGGGCAGGTGTAATCAATGTATGAAACCAGATCTATGATTTATTATTTTGTTTCCCTTCCAGGATGCTTGAGGGCCACGCCCCCCCCCTTCCCCCCATAGTGTCATAATTGATTTCCTGGCCAAGCGCCGGTCACACTCATTAAATCAGGCATCATTGCTACCTTTGCTTCATGTGCATTTTGCAGCTCTGATGTGTTAAGGAAGCTGTCGCCATAGTCAAGGACCTGATGGTTTGAGACAAGCTTTTGAAGACGTATCTGAACGTGAGCATGTGGTAAAATCATTCATCCGTAAAAGCAGTAAAACCATTAGCGGAGTCACCCATAGCACTAACATTTATTACCTCCAATGTCACTGACCTGCCTGACTGACTTTAAATGAACCATAACAATATCCAGGTCAGCTGAACCGCACTGGTTACTGCAGTCGTTTTCCATGGTTTGGTTGTTTTGTTCATTAGCATAACATATTGTGTCGCTTTGTGGTGATGAACGGTGGGTCTGAGCTAATTGTAAGACCTTTGGTTATTTGATTATTAAGTTTATGACAGTTATAGCTGCTTAAAATGATCACTGGGGCTTATGGCAGTGATCAGTATCTATTTTTATCACCATTAATTTGGTGGCCTTTGTATTTCAGCTTTCCAATTAATTGCAGCTCATAGGGGGGAAAAATCGACACATTTGCAGTCCTAATAGGCCGGCTTCTTTCACTGCAGGTGATGGTGTCGAACGTTGTAGCGTCACTTGTAATGGTGTCACGTAGTACTAGCTTTAGTGTTTAATGCAAGAAAATCTACAAATTTGTCAACATATACGTGGAAAAACTTCTAAACCAGTCCCTAATCTCAAGTAAGTTTCACAACACATCAGCCTGAGTTACTTGACTGTAGATCACACCAAAGCAAACACCTTAAAGGGGGTTGGGTGAGTGCAACAATAGCCAGGTGAGCGTAAAACGTGTTTAGGAGACCATTCGCTGCATCAGCTGAAATGCTTGACCTCTGTGTCCCCTGCTGCGTCAGCTCTTGGGGTAGCCGTGCGTTTTACCGCTGTGTAGCGGCATACAGAGTTGTGACCCTGCATTGAGATCTGAGAAATGGTCTTTTAGGACTGTTCTCTTCCCACATGCGATCAATCTTTTGTCTCTGGTCTCTGCCTTGTGCTCAGGTGATTACGTAATCACTGTTTGCGCGCTACCTCATCATGAGGGAGAGAGTGCAGCTGCTAGATTAGCCAAAAGGATCCAAAATTTTCACCTTAGTTTTTTCCCCACATTTAATTCATGTATGTACTCCTCTATAACTGATTTATGGGTAGATATCTTGGATATTGATAATTCACCACTGTATTTTCTCATGTGGTGGTTTTCTGATGCCTTGTGGTGGCTCTAAAACCTTTCTGATTTTTATAAATGATGCACACATTGCAAAAAGCAACCCATCTGGAATATCTGGGCACTGAAATCTCAAAAAAGGGATGAACAGGACTGAAACTGAAAGTAGACATGGTGTAACTAGAACTTTCCTGAGGAAAATCCAGTTTGACTGACCCCTCCCCCCCCCTGCAGATTCACCCTTCAGATTCCATTTTTGTTCTTTGCAGGAAGTGAAAAACATATTCGTTTCAGTTTTTATTTCCCAGTATCTGAAGGAATACGAAGTGTATAAACTGCCATGTCTTAGTACATTTTTTGGATGTGGTTATTGGTCACTGAGCCGCCGTACAGTAAGTTCACCCCGACCCTGTCTGTATTCTGACCCTCTTTTCTCATTGGCTGTGCCACATTCTTCAGATCTTTTGCTTTTCTATGATATAAACA